CATTGTTTTGTTTTTGAGTGCAGTCATGTAACAAACAAAAAAATTCTACATTTGTAAGTTACACTTTCACAATAGAGATTTCACTACAGTACTTGTATGAAGTGAATTGAAAAATACTATTGCTTTTATCATTTTTACAGTGCAAATATTTGTAATAAAAATAATACAAAGTGAGCACTGTACACTTTGTATTCTGAGTTGTAGTAGAAATCAATATATTTGAAAATGTAGAAAAACATCCAAAAATATTTAATAAATTTCAATTGGTATTCTATTGTTTAACAGTGTGATTAATCATGATTTTTTGTAATCACAGTTAATTTTTTTGAGTTAATCCCGTGAGTTAACTGCGATTAATCGACAGCCCTAATTATTTGTACTGGCAATAAGAGTTTGTGTCAATTCAAATGACAAATAGATCTTTACCTTTATAGGCAACATATGCCTCAAAGGTCTATCCCCAAACACAAATAAAGATCAAATGATCAAGCAAAGCAGTTTATTAAAAGCGGCCTTTGTTTTTCTTCCAATACGAACCAAGGAGAAAAGTTAAGAAGAATACTGATTTTAGTATTGTGCCCACATTTAAGGCACTGGATGATTGACGGTAGTCCACCATGCAACTTTGAGCATCACTAAGTAAGATGATTAAAGCTGTTAATAACCATTGTTAACTTATCCAATGATTTAAAGACTGAACCAAATACAGTATTTTAAAAGCAGAGAAGTACTTGGTTATGTATTATCAGTTTCCAAGGTAGTACATACTCATGAAGAAGTCTTATAGTAAATACAAAACACATTACTAATATGTACTAAAATAAGGTTATTTACTTAAAAATGATACATTGGACATAATCTGTGTACAGAAAAAAGCATTCATGGTAAACTTAAGGCACCTTTTAACTCAGATGCTGTACAAGGTACATTAGTGTGTTACATTTTAAAAGATTATTCTACACTTTTGGCATATAACAAACACAAGAATGTAATCATTCTACTTGTTTTACCCTTCTCTCATTTTTATTTACATCTTCTCTAAGTTAACTACAATGTTATTTTTGTATACAATATAATACATTTCATGTTGGGCATGGGTAGGTCAGAGCACAAACATCACTACAGTATGTGGACTTAATTGCATTCAAGGATAATATAGAACAAGGCAACAATTACATGAGATTTGTTTAACAAATTAAGTAAAATAGTGTTCACTCCACCTTTGTGATAACTATTAAACCATGGCTACCATACTGTGAACTCCATAAAGCTCTGTATTATATACCATTATATCATCCCTACATGGGGTACACCCAGTGGAAGCAGGATTGTGTCCTCTACCTTCTTACAGAAGCACTGTCACAACAATGGAGAACTGCTAAATCATTTCTATCTAACCAAAATAAAAGATAATTAATTCCCTTTAAACATTATTACAGTAACCAAAAAAGATTTTTAATTTTAAACTTAAGTGACATTTTTATTCTTCAAATGGTTTTAGTCTGTTAATTTAATTTAAAATATAGTATGTGAAGACAATATAGCTGATTTGTAGCCAAAGAATTAATTTTATAGCACATTCAGTGGTCATTTAGATGATGTTCTAAAATTTGATTCTAGGCTTACTGAGGAGGTAACAGTTAAAAATTCATTATGCATTTTAATATCAACACTTAAAGATAATATAATTTAAAAATGTAAATGAAATAATTAAGGAAAATATGGTACATACAAATGAAGCTACCAGTTTTACAAGATTTTAAAGTCTCGTACTTTCAAAAATATCTACCTTAAAAGCTGATTAGAGGCCTACGGAAGTTGTACATCACTTATCTAATTTTGGTTTTCAAGATACTCATTCTTAAAGGAAAATTCTAAGATAAGCAAACAGTAAAACCCAAAACGCAAGTCTGCATTCATTCCTAGAAACATCATATTCCTTTAGGAATTTACAAGTTAACCAGGAACGTAAATGTTTCCTTACTCTCACTGAATACAATGGCCTCAATTATCTCAAAGATGCAAGTTACTTTCCATCCAACTAAAACAAGATAGAACCTGCTAGACAATACAAATCTCCATATGCAATGCTTAATTGGTTCCAATGCACAGACCATGTTCACAAGGCATACGCTACACATAACATTTAAAAGATATTTGCCAGGCATCCTCTCTCCCCCCCCCCCCCGCCCTTTTTTTTTTAAATACTGGTTGACAAATAATGACTGAAGTAAGTTTGACCAACAAAATGAGATGATCACTCACTTAGGATGAAGGAGTCTGATACTCCTTTAAAAGGCTTTGGAATCCTTATAAGGCAATGCAACTTGACTTAAGTCTACATTAAGTATAAAAATATTTTAATTAATAAATTTGCTAAGATTAATGTCAAGATTTTAAGAAATTGATATCTAAAGCTATGAGCGTAAGCACATATTTAGGCCCTGATTTTGCAAGTTACTTCACATAGGACTTAAGCACATGCTTAAGTGCTTTACTGAATTAGGGCCTTAATTTACTGATTTTCAGACATACTGAGCACCTACCGGCTCTCAATTGAGCCAATGAAAGTTACTGTATACTCAGGATTTGAGAATATCAGGCCATTTACTGAGGTGCCTAAAAATAGATTTTGGAGCCCAACTAGACAACCACTTTTTAGAATTTAGGCGCAAGTCCCCCTCCACCTCTTCCTCTCCCCTCCTCCACCCGCCCAACAGAAAACCCAGCTCAGTGGATTTACTTTATGTAAAAGTGTTTTTTGTAAAGCCTTTTAAAGTGTTATGGTATTTACTCAGAGTATGTCTAAACTACAATTAAAAACCCATGGCTGGCTCATGCCAGCTGACACAGGCTGAGGGGCTGTTTAACTGCAGTGTACACATTCAGGCTCAGGCTGGCCCCTGGGCTCTAGGACACCGCGAGGTGGGAGGGTCCCTGAGCTCAGACTGCAGCCCAAGCACAAACCTCTATACTGCAATTAAACAGCCCCTTAGCCTGAGCGGGAGCCCAAGTCATCTGGTATGGGCCAGCCACAGATATCTAATTGTAATGTAGACATACCTTCAGTATCACCAACATTTTGCCTTGCAAAAACTTAAGCAATAAATATTTGGGGTGGGGGGAAATCAATGAATAATTAAAAATGGTGTTTCATTTTTACATTTCTGTTGCTTTATTTAGACTACCACCAACTGTTTTCCTTAAAGACTTCAGAAAAACACACCAAGATTAAGTGTCAGCAAATAAATCATAGCTAATAAAGATGTATAATTCAAATGGCACTTTATGAGATGAATACAAATATTCCAATATAGCAGTGGTTCCCAAACTTGTTCCGCCACTTGTTTAGGGAAAGCCCCTGGCGGGCCGGCCGGTTTGTTTACCTGCCGCGTCCGCAGGTTCGCCCGATCGCGGCTCCCACTGGCCATGGTTCGCTGCTCCAGGCCAATGGGAGCTGCTGGAAGTGGCGGCCAGTACGTCCCTTGGCCCGCGCCGCTTTCAGCAGCTCCCATTGGCCTGGAGCAGCGAACCGTGGCCACTGGGAGCCGCGATCGGCCGAACCTGCAGACATGGCAGGTAAACAAACTGGCCTGGCCTGCCAGGGGCTTTCCCTGCACAAGCGGCGGAACAAGTTTGGGAACCACTGCAATATAGGAATGGATTAAATTAAAAAAAACTCCATGTTCTGAAAGAGCAAGCTTATGGGACACATGCATAAACATTTTCCTTTTTATTGTTAAAAACCCAGGGCGATGGGTGGGTGGAAGCAGCTTATTCTAAATTATTGATTTTATTACTCATGCCAAATATTTTCCAACTACCTGTGCTACTCTTGGGGGAATTCTGCGTCACTGTGCGTGCGTAGAATTCATGGCCCCTGCAGATTTCTTTGCTTCCCCACAGAAAAATGACTTCTGATGGGGAAGCAAAGGGAAGCCGCAAGAGCAGTCACACGCCCCTCCCCAGCAGTGCAAGCAGGTTAGTTTGAGTGCCCAGAGCTGCTGGTAGAGACGTAAATCACACCCGGGGCGGGAGGGCTCGGCAGTCATGTGTGAGAGAGAAAGAGACACTCTGTCCCTCTTGCTTGCTATTGTGGAATGCTCGGCGTGAAGGGGCAAGGCTTTGGGGTGTTTCTGAGAAGGTAGATGTGCAGCAGGCTCTGTCCCCACAGGCAGAGTAGAATGTAGCAGCCTGCCTGCTTAGTGAATTGTTCCCATTGTTCTTAGTAAATTCCCCAGGAGTATAAAACAGGTGTAAAAAATTTAAGGCTCCTTTATATTCCCAAAGTGGTGTAAATAAGCCTTATTGTAACAGACAGTATGGCCTTATAAATGCTTATGATGCTTTAGTGATTAGAATTGGTCTAAATTTTTTGACTGAAAAATTTTCCTATCAAAATGAGCTCCACGAACTGTTTTCTACTGACCTTCCTGGAGATGGTCAGTAGCCAATATAAATTGTGAGTTTGAGCCCTCACTTGCTCTTCAATTGCCTATGATGTAACACTGAGCATATGGCTGCACAGATTTGTTGATTAATAACTAGAAGTAAAGGGTCAATACTAGCTACATTACTACTAGACAGAGGGGGCTTGGGGATTTCCTCCAATACTCCCCACTCCCATTCTCCATCCATTGTATTGTAGTTTAAATAAATTACCAAAATAATTGAAACCAGCGTGATTATATTGTGTTATATTAACAAATAAAATATGCAGAATTTTGCAGAACTTTAAAATACTGTGTGCAGAATTTTTAATTTTTGGCACAGAATTCCCCCAGGAGTACTATGCAAACTAATGCACAAAGACATGCTTAACGACTTCAGCCTCATCTTATATCTTTCTTGGCAATGGACGGAAAAAAAATTTAAAGCCCTTTTTTCATAAGAATTGTGGCACACTATTGTCTACCGCTGTCTTCAAATAAGTTAAAATTATACTTGACACACCCATGAATTGTTCAACCAGAATACATATTAATACTTAAAGGCTTTAATGAACAAAAGTAATGACTTTATTTTAAAAAAAGAATTGTCCCTTGAGATAACTAGTTTTCTATAAAATATGTAGCATTGTTAAATAAAGTCTGTACATCACAACAGAAAATAAAAAATACTGCAGTCTTTTGCCTGACCACTTACTTTTGGCAAACTATGGAACAGAAGTGAAAAAACCCAATGTTAGATAGTTATTTGCAGTTGTTCACAAATGCACATTGGAACTTCATTAAGCTACATTTTCTATTGTATTTTCAAAAGACATTTTAACACAATTTCAAAGCAGTCTCCATGTACCCATTTTAAGACGACAGATAATTTATCAAAAATCTTTATATGAAATCGCTAAGTCTGAACAATTTCAACATTATTCCTAATTCCTTCCCCCTCCAAATCTGGGCTATAGCATGTGTGTACACATGTACCTATGACCAGGTGTTTTAAAATAGAGCACATTACACACTATATAAATACCTTCCCTTTTTAAAATTATCTAGAACAAGGTTTACAGTACAAGGTTAGAGGCACTTAAATTAGGTTTAACTGAACTGTTCCAATACTGTGTTTTTAATCTTCAGAAGATTCACAGCATTGGGAGTTTAAATTTGAGTTATGGTGCTTTTTCTGACTTCAAACGAACAGTGACAAAATTAATGGTATATAACTAATGACCCAACTTTACAGTAATCATTTTAGTTTTTTTGGCCTTTTATATCAACCTGTCTTGGTCAACAAAAAAAGGAGCAGAAATTTGATTTCCTGTGCAAGCCAAATGGCTTTCATGTAACTAGCTAGTTGCTGCAGTACAGAATCATATGCACAGCACTGCATATTATACAGCAACCCTTGACCAAATCCTGCAGCAATGTTAATTTATTGTACCTCCATTAAAACCCCTTTCAATCCCATTTCTCCCATACCCAACAACACACGTCCGATTCAGTTGAAAATACACTGATTTACAATTCGTCGATGATTTTCAGGAATGATAGTATTTGATTATGTTTTTTCAACGTGTCCTCTAGATGGCCCAGTAGATCTCCAGCAGTAACGATGCTGTCAGGGTGATCTAGCTCAGAATCTCCTTTGCCTGCCTCATGCATGCCAGTCAGCTTCAGCGGTTCATCTCAGTTCCCCAGGCCTTGGATGACACTCTCAGTTTCCTAGCTGCCCAGCCTGCACTTCTGGGAGTGGGCCCTAGCTGCAAACTGGACTCCAGCTCTGGCTCTCAGACCTCCCCTCCTGCCTGGTTCTACAGAATAGAGAAAGGAGCATGCAGTGCAATCCATTTAATTCCCTCTCATGGGGAAAGATGCAAAGCATGAAGCAGCTGCAGACAGGTCCCAGCAGGACAGAGAGACAAAACAGAAAGCCAAAGGTCTGGTTGCTGCAAAATGGTGAAGTCTACAGCAAAAATGATGACTTCTGTGGTACCCTGAAAAAAGCCAAATTCCACAACCACACAATCAAGGAGCATACTGGGCCCCAAGTGAGATGATTGAGGCAGATCACACCTCTCAGTCACTGTTTCAGGCTCTCTGCAGACTCAGGGCCTGTCTCCACAGCGAGGCAATGCACACTAGAGAAATGTGATTTCTAAAATGCACTCATGTGCTGCACGCTTACTGGCCTGCAACAACCCTGCTGGCATACACTAAAAAGTTTCCTAGTGCATGTTAACAAGCAGCATGTACATTAAGCACCCTAGGAAACTTATAGTGTGTGCCAACAGGATCTACATGGATCAGTCAGTATACTTTAGAAATCACACCCCTCTAGTGTGCGCATTGCTGAACCGTGTAGACAAGCCCTCAGATGGACATTAGTTTACACTGTTCACATTTCTGAGGTTCTCTTTGCAACCAAAACAGCACAGAAATGTAATTATTTCAACATGAAAATTGAGATTCTGGAGCACAATTCTGTGTCGAGGGATGAATTCTGTGGCAAATCCTGAAACTGTGGAATCAGGGAACATATGGGGCCCTGACCATAAGTCTTTCTGTGAATTTAAATTATCATCTATCCCAAATGGCAGCCAAAGAATCCTGGCACACACATAAAAGACCCATAAAAGGCATAGGAACTGTTAAACTGAGTAGTATCTCAAACAGATTCCTAACCTACAGGCTATTTCAAAAAGTCTTGGTATGAACCAACTAGGTTTTTATCAGGTAGAAGGCAAAAAGCTTATATTTCTCCATCTCTGTTGAATCCATTTAGCTTTTTAAGGCTTTCACAGAAAGCAATTCAGTATCCAGAGTTTCACTGGAGACTCACTAAGTGTGACTGAAGTCTCAATGCAGCTTAAAACAAAAATGATACGCATATTTAAAACAAGGCTGTCCATATATGTAGCATGTAGTGTACAGAGACTCTCAGCATTATATTCTACAAAGTACTGAAAGATTTAATATTAGCAGCCTGTAAAAGTGAGATGAGGAAGTGGACTGAATCTCAGTTGCTTCCTCTTCCCACTTAGTTCCCACCCTTATCAGGGTGAAAAGTTCTAGGAGTCCAACTCTGCTCCTCAGTACTATATTATTCTGTCAAATCTTTACATCTTGTGATTCCACCATCTTGGCAAGTGTCTTCTTGATCCTCAAGGCTGTAAGTCTAGAGGCAGGATTGTGGGCCCAGCATTCAGACATTAACTTCAACACTGCTCTTAAACACTGAAAATTAAAAAACAAAAAGGATATTATTGTAAACAATAATGACTGACAGTTGAAATGGCACAAGTTTTAAGGAGTACACTGGTGAAGCTAGTAGGCCAAAAAGGTTACTTTTTTCCAATATTCTGTTGATTTATTTACAATATCCTTTGACAATTATTTCCCCTGAATAAAGTAACATTGGTATCTCCAACAATGATTTGATTTAGAAAGTGTGTCTTAGTTACAACACAACAACAAACTGGTGCTCTTTCTTTTGTTTTATAAGAGCTCAGGGATTCTTTTACATTTCAATTTACTGCCTGAATTCAAAAATGGAAGAGGACTATAAAGTTTCAGTGGGTCAGGCTAACATCCCATAGCAGAGTAATGAGGTGTCATACTGTGTACCCAATGTTTCTCACCAGAGGGAAGGTTGTCATGACAAAAGGTCTGATTGGGTGACAAGTGAAATGGGAGAAATTAGGGCATGTCCAAAAGAAATGGACAATCTCTGACAGGGTGGGAAAAGAAATAATATAGCATGCATATAACTTCTATTTGAAACAGGTAGATCCTATTATTTATCTACCAGCCTCAATAATATCCATTTAAAGACCAAATATTCCTGTTTAACCCATAATTACATAGAATGATAAAAAACCCTGCACCTCGTGGGAGAATCTTTATTACACATAATGCTGAATAGACAATAAAATATATGCATTTTCTAATCTTCATCACAGTGTAAGGTAATTCACACCAATTTGGGAGAATGTGTGAAGAGACTAGTAAACATTTGAAGACTGCCAACAGTCTTTGGAACCCTACCTTAAAAGGTTTACTCAATTTCAAGCACACTGAAAATAAATGCAAAATTTTGAACACAAATTTTTGTGCCTCTTAAACAGCAAATTAATGTAACAGGGATGGCCAAACTGCACCTTGTGAGACGCATGCGGCTCTTTTACAGTTAAAGTGTGGCTGAAGGAGCTCACTTGGAGGGTGTGTGTGTTCTGCACTGCAGCACAGTGGTGGGGCTAGGAGCTTCTGCCAGAAACGACTGGTGCCTGCTGAGAGTGGGTGGAGGGGGGGGTGTCATAATTTAAAGGTGTCCCCCCTCACAACAGCGGGATGCCCTCCCTCTTACCTTCAGTGGCCCCTTCCAGCAGATCCCAGGTGCTAGCTCTGTGTGGAGAGGCAACAGCAAACAGCTGGGAGCTGTAGGAAGGAGCCACTGCTTTAGCGCCATGGGGAGAGGCAGCAGCAAAAGCAGCGGCTCTCCCTGCAGCTCCCAGCTGTTTGCCACTGCCACTCCCCATGCCTGCAGCTCCCAGCTTGCCAGCTCCAGCAGCTGCCGTGCAGAGAGGGAACCCAATGACATCATATGCCCAAGTGGGGCCAGCATACCATGGCAAAAATCGGGGGGCGGGGGGGAGCACATAAACCCATGTGCCACCCCCCCACACACATCTCCTCTGGTTTCTGCCCAGCGGGGAGGGGTGGTCTCGGGGCTTCAGTCCCGTGTGACTTGCCTGCCAGTGCTCGGGGCTTCAATATATAGCAGCATATCTGAACTAGCACTACCTTCAAACTAAACATTGGAAATTATGCAGCATGAGCTACTGTTACCCTTAATAAATGGGCATTTTAATCCCATTATTATTTCACCTTCTTCTGGGATACTGACCCTAGAATACCACTAATTCTCCTAATGGATCTCAGGTACACAATGAAAACAGGAACAATGCAAAACCTAATGATACTCTATATGAGATCTCTCTGAGTAAAAAGGAAAATGAAGGTTACTTACTTGTATCCGGAGCTCTTTGAGATGGACTATGCATATTCCCACTCATGGGATGCTCCGACTAACACAGCCTGAATGATAGAACTCTAGCCAGCAGTGTTCTCTGGAACGCTCATGTCTGTCCCTCAGCCCTCCCACCAGTGAACATTAAACCTTCCATGGCAAGGATATAAAAGGGGTATGGCGGCCAGCTGCCTCAGGTCCTTTTCCCATGGCCTCAGGTCCTCTGAGAGTAGGACTCCAAAGCAGAGAGGAAAGGTGTGCAGAATGTGTGAATATAGAGAGTCCATGTCGAACAACTCCAGTTACAAGTAAGTAACCTTCATTTCTTCTTTGACTATCCTCTGCATATTCCCACTCACAGGACAGTCTAACTACGGTAACACTGACCCAGGATGGTGGGAACATGGAATCCCAGTAAAATGAGAATTGCATTGCCAAATTTTGCATCTGATCTAGGTTTTAAGTCTAAGGAGTAGTTCCTAGTAAAAGTGTGGATTGTACACCACACTGTTACTCTTTATGTTTCTATTAAAGGAATATGTCTAGCGAATGCCACAGATACTGCTTCTGATCTAGTAGAATGAGCTCTAATTCCTTCAGGAAGACAGGAATTCATCAGCTTATAAACTTCAATACATAGCCTAACCCATCTTGAAAGAGTTTGTACAGTGACCTCTCTCCCGTTATTCCTCTTTTCATAAGAAATAAAGAAATTGGGAGACTGTTGAAAATGCTTAGTTCTATTTAAATGAAAGCTAAAGCCCTTCTAACGTCTAGCACATGAAATCTAGCCTCCTCATCTTGAGCGTGAGGTTCGGGAAAAGAAAGCTGGTAACAGATTTATAGAAAAATATAAGAATCTTGGGTGTGTACAGAGAATTTCTTTATCCTTATGAAAGATAGTAAATGGTGGGTACAGCATTATCACTTGTAATTCACTTATGCGCCTTGCAGAAGAGGTAGCTATCAAGATGACTGTCTTAATAGATAAAGAGAACAGCACACAGATTCCCACAGTTCAAATGAATGTTTCATTAACTGTGTAAGCACTATGTTTAAATTCGAAGATGGAATAGGATAGCTAACCGGTGGATATAGATTATTAAGACATTTCAAGAATCTTTACATCACAAGTAAAAACTAATTTACTATCCACAGGGACATAGTAAACTGAAATTGCTGCAAGATGAACCTTGACTGGTGACAAACAGAGACCAACTCTTTTAAGATATAATAAGTAATAATAAGTAGGGCTGTTGATTAACCGCAGTTAATTCATGCAATTAACTAAAAAAAATTGTGATTTATCGTGCTGTTAAGAATAGAATACCAAATGAAATTTATTAAATATTTTGGATGTTTTTCTACATTTTCAAATATATCAATTTAAATTACAACACAGAATACAATGTGTACAGTGCTCACTTTATATTTTTTATTACAAATATTTGCACTATAAAAATAATAAACAAAAGAAATAGTATTTTTCAATTCACCTCATACAAGTGCTGTAGTGCAATCTCTATCATGATCGCGCAACTTACAAATGTAGATTTTTATTACATAACTGCACTCAAAAACAATGTAAAACTTTAGAGCCTACAAGTCCACTGAGTCCTACTTCTTGTTCAGCCAATCGCTAAGAGAATCAAGTTTGTTTACATTTATGGGAGATAATGCTGTCCACTTCTTAATTATGTCACCTGAAAGTGAGAACAGGCGTTCTCATGACACTGTTGTAGCTGGCGTCGCAAGGTATTTACACATGCCACATGCGCTAAAGATTCATATGCCTCATCATGCTTCAGCCATCGTTCCAGAGGACATGCTTCCATGCTGGCGACGGTAGTTAAAAAAATAATGTGTTAATTAAATTTGTAACTGAACTCCTTGGGGGAGAATTGTATGTCTCCTGTTCTGTTTTACCCGGATTCTGCCATACATTTCATGTTATAGCAATTTCAGATGATGACCCAGCACACGTTATTCGTTTTAAGAACACTTTCACAGCAAATTTGACAAAATGCAAAGAAGATACCAATGTGAAATTTCTAAAGATAGCTACAGCACTCAAGTCAAGGTTTAAGAATCTGAAGTGTCTACAGAATCCGAACCACCAAAAAAGAAAATCAACCTTCTGCTGGTGGCATCTAACTCAGATGATGAAAATGAACTTGCGCTGGTCCGCACTGCTTTGGATTGTTATCGAGCAGAACCCGTCATCAGCATGCATGCATGTCCTCTGGAATGGTGGTTGAAGCATCGAGGGATATATGAATCTTTAGCGCATCTGACATGTAAATATTTTGCGACGCCAGCTACAACAGTACCATGCAAATGCCTGTTCTCACTTTCAGGTGACATGGTAAACAAGAAGCAGGCAGCATTATCTTCTGCAAATGTAAACAAACTTGTTTGTCTGAGCGATTGGCTGAACAAGAAGTAGAACTGAGTGGACATATAGGCTCTAAAGTTTTACATTGTTTTGTTTTTGAATGCAGGGGTTTTTGGTACATAATTCTACATTTGTAAGTTCAACTTTCATGATAAAGAGATTGCACTACAGTACTTGTATTAGGTGAATTGAAAAATACTATTTCTTTTGTTTTTTACAGTGCAAATATTTCTAATAAAAAATAAATATAAAGTTTGCACTTTACACTTTGTATTCTGTGCTGTAATTGAAATCAATATATTTGAAAATGTAGAAAACATCCAAAAATATTTAAATAAACGGTATTCTATTATTAACAGCATGATTAATCACACTTAATTTTTTTTAATTGCGATTACTTTTTTTAATCGCTTGACAGCCCTAATAAGAAGTAAGATAGAATATGTAAGTAATCAGAGCTGTATATGGATCTACATCAGTGGTTCTCAACTTATTTATCATTGTGGGCCGCATATGCGGGACCCCCGACCCTGCGGGGCAGGCCGGCAGCCTTGACCCCGGACCCTTGCTGTGGGGGGCAGGCTGGCAGCACCGACCCTGACCCCGTGGAGAGATGCGGGAGGTACATGAACATGCTAACAAACACTTCTAGCTAGAGTTCTATTGGTCAGGCTGAACGGTCTGTGCATCCCATTAGTGGGAACATGCAGAGGACACCTGAAGAACTGTGCAGCACTACCAATGAGATCTCTCCATGAAAAAGCAATGGGGCCACTAATGATCTACCCCATCCTCTCCTCAGGTCTACAAACACACTAGTATCACTTCATATTCCACAGTGTTGAAAATGTCTGATATATCCAGTATGACAGAAAAAGATATACTGAGGTTGAGTGTGATAAACTGCATTAAAATGACATATTAAATTGTAGGTCCATTCAAAAACACAGGAAAATACTAAAGCCTAGCTCTAGATTGGTTTGGGGTGAGAATGTGATCATTCAGTTGGTTGCTGGTGAGGTACTTCTCCTTCCCATCCAAATGGGTATATAAAAAGATCAGGCATGTAAAAGCGCTACCAGTTGTTCTCACACATTAGTATTTTTATTGTGGTCAGAGATATCTCAAAACATTAGAATGTCTAATTTTGTTGCCTACTCTACTTCAGTTCCAGAAAACTCTGGGAAAGACTAAAATACCCTTATTATATATTAGGGGCTAACGCTGAACTCCTCCCGTTTCTCCCTTTTGGTGTACTTACTTCATCGCTATTCCATCTGTTAGATACCACTGGGCGTAGGCGCTTGACACACACCACCTCTCTCATATCTTCATAAGATGGATCATTCGGCACCATGTCATAATATGGCAACTGGTACTCTTCAACAATACCTGAAATATGTGTGAAAGATCAGGGTAATATATGCAAGAACAAACTAAATCCATAAATCTGCTCCTAATCTAAACTCCTAACTAACTGAAGAAGCATAAATTAACACAAAATTCTCTTGTCAGCAACTTAAACTCATCAGTGGTTGAAAACTATAGGTAACACAGAATTGAACATAATATGACTTGCTGAAAATTTATAGCTGATGGTGGACATTTAGGACTAAATGTTGACTTAATTACCTATAGTCCCACTTAATATTTGGCGCTATCTATCCTATTACATACTATAGACCTACTCCCTACAACAGATGAGTGCATACATGCATATTTTCCACTTTATTCTGAGACTGCCTGTAATCTTCCTATTTCACCACATCCAAGAAGTGTACTTCACTGAACATATAAAGACAGATCACTGTCCCAAGACAATGCAATCTAAATTAGGATGAGAGGGTTACTCACCTTGTGCAATAACTGAGGTTCTTCGAGATGTGTCCCCCTGTGAGTGCTCTACTTTAAGTGTTTTAGCACCCTTGTGCTTGTTATCGGAGATTTGTGGTAGCAGTGCCTGGTTGGGTCGCACATGCTCAGTCCCCGTCTCGCGCTGCCTCCAGCAGTTAATTGGCACTGTGCGAGCAACCTCCCCTCTGTTCCTTCTCTACTGCAAAGCATGAGTGTGAAACTGTGAAGTAGAGGGGCAGAGGGAGGGTAGTGGAGCACCCATGGGGACACACATCTCGAAGAACCTCAGTTACTGCACAAGGTGAGTAACTCTCTCTTCTTCGAGTGATGTCCCTGTGGGTGCTCAACTTTAGTTGACTTCAGAGCAGTGCCCTCCAATGGAAGGGAGGGGCTTTGGAGTTGACGTTGTGACAGAGGATAATACGGTGAGTCCAAATAATGCATCAGATGTTGCAGGCTGCTCTAATACGTAGTGCTACATAAATGTATGGGTAGAGGCCCATGTCACAGGTCTACATAGGCCGGAATGGGAACACTGTTCAGAAAAGCTATTAAAGTTGACATTGCCCTGGTGAAACGCATGTGAATCCCCATAGGGGGTTGCAGGTCCTGTGGCTGGTAACACAGTTTGATGCATTCTGAAATCCATTTGGAGAGCCTCTGTTTGGATATGGCATCTCCTTTTGATTGTTCCATGATTGAAACGAATAATTTTGGGACTTGCGGAATGACCTTGTTCTATCTGTGTAAAAAGCCAGGGCCTTGTGAACATTAAGGATGTGAAGTGTGCATTCTTGCCTATCCTTATGTGGCTGAGGATAGAACATGGGTAAGTAGATGGGTCGGTTGAGGTGGAATGAGGCAGCAACCTTAGGTAAGAACTTGGGATGCGGTCTGAGAGTGATTTTGTCTTCGGAAAATACTGTGTAGGGTGAATCAGCTATGAGGGCCCCTAGTTCCCCCACTCGTCTTGCAGATGTAATGGCGACTAGAAAGGCCACCTTCATTGACAGATGGAGAAGTGAGCAAGTGGCTAGTGGCTCAAATTGGGTATCTGGTGATGCCCCAGAGAACTAAGTTGAGGTCCCATAGCGGCGTGGAAGTGTTGAGGCTTTTCAGAAAATGTTTGGTGGTATCTGATGGTGGAAAGCTGCTATGGCTGAGAGATGTACCCTGATTGAGCTAATAGATAGGTCTGATCTCTTAAGTTCATGCAGGTAATCCAGAATCAACGGTAAGGGGGCAGATACCGATGTGGTCTGCTTCGTGTGACACCAGGAGTCAAAGTGTCTCCATTTGTGTAGGTATGTGCAGCAGGTAGTCGGTCAGTGACTATTTAATAAAATGTTCTGTACTTCTTTGGAGCATGTCATTTCAGGTCCCTGGAGCCATGGAGCAACCACGTTTTGAGATGGAGTGTCTCCAGGGTCGGGTGCAGAGTTCATCCCGAGTCCTGGGACAGGAGACAAGGCAGGAGAGGAAGAGTTTGAGGTCTGCACACTGACATTCTGAGAGTGTAGAGGAACGATGTTTGACAAGGCCATGCAGGGATTATAGGTATTACTGTGGTCTTGTCTGCTTTGATCTTGTGAGGCACTCACGCCATAAAGGGAATGGAGGTGCAGGGGAGGAGGCATATAGGTGGGGAGCATCCTCCATTTGATAAGAAACGCATCTCCCAAGGAGTGATGGCCCATGCCGGCCCTGGAGCAAAACAACGGGCATTTGGTGTTGTACTCCATTGCAAAGAGGTCTATTGTGGGGAATCCCCATTGTTTGACTATGTTGTGGAGAACCCTGGTGTCAAGTTCCCACTTGTGATCCTGAGAAAAGTTCCTGCTGAGTGCACCTGCCATAGTGTTTTGACATCCGGGCAGGTAAGCTGCTATAATATGGATATTGTGCTGGATGCACCAGTGCCAAAGTCGCATGGCCTCTGCACACAGGGAATGTGAATGTGAACCCTCCTTGTCTGTTTATGTAGAACATGCATGCCAAATTGTCCATGAGTATTTGTATGGTCTTGTTTCTGATCATGGGTAGGAAGGTGGGGCATGCATTGCGAACAACTCTGAGTTCTAGCAGATTTATGTGAGGGCGGGCTTCTGTTTGGGACCAACGACCTTGAGCAGAATGTGAATTCAGATGTGCTCCCCAACCTATGAGGGACGCATCCGTCATAATAGTCAATGTAGGAGGGGCTTGGGTGAAAGGTACTCTCAGGCATATGTTGTGTGGTTGTGTCCACCAAGATAGAGAGTCTTTTACTTTGCTTGGCATTGTGAGGCGTTTGTTTATACTGTGTCTTCATGAGCAATAAGTTGTACGGAGCCAAGCTTGTAGGGTTCGCATATGTTGCATATGTCGCGTGTTGAGCGATGAAGGTCGATGCGGCCATGTGACCCAGTAATTCCAAACAAGTCCTGGCTGTTACCTGGAGGCTGTTGAGTGATGTGGCAACCAGATTCATTCACTGAGGGTTGACTTTTTTTTTTTTTTTTTTGGGAGACCTAATTGCGGAAAGAGGCCCATTGTTTGTTGGGTAGCCTCCACTGCTGCTGGTCAATTCGCTGCTTATAGTAGGCAATCATCCAGATATGGAAATATCACGATTCCTCTCTTGCAGAGGAGCGCAGCGACTACCGCAAGTACCTTTGAGACTTGGGGAGAAATTGACAGACCGAAGGACAGGACCTTGTATTGGAAATGATCTGGTCCGAGAATGAATCAGAGAAACCTCCGATGTGATGGGTGAATCATTATGTGGAAGTATGCTTCCTGGAGGTCAAGGGCGAGAGCCAGTCCCCTCTTTCTAATGCTGGGATAATGTTGGCCATCATCACCATCTTGAAGTGTTGATTTCTGACGAATTTGTTGAGCCATCAGAGATCAAGAATGGGTCTCCATCCTCCTGTTTATTTTGTGTGTGTGAGGTAGTAATTTGAGCAGAAACTCGTCCCTTTGTATTTTGTTGGTATCAGTTCTACTGCTCCTAGCCGGATGAGATGGGTTACCTCCTGTCGCAATAGATCTTCATGAGAGGGGTCCCTGAAGAGGGAAGGGAAGGGTGGGTGGGTATGGAGTATCCAAATTCAATTATCTCCAGCACCCATCTGTCTGTAGTGATAGATTGCCAGACTGGGTAATAGGGGAGTTAAACGGTTTCCAAATGGCTGGGAGATGGTAGGAGTTTCCAGTGTTGAAAGTTGGGGGGTCTCGGGCCCTCAACCAATGTTGATGAGACGTGGTAGACTGATTTGACAAGTATAGTCTCCTTGGGGGTCATTGTTTCTGGGCTTGTGGCTCGTATTGCCTGTGTGTCTGTGCAAACTGAGTGGACCGGAAGCTCTGTGGGTTATAATACCTTCCTTGTCTTCTCTTTGTCCTAGGAGCATAGATACCCAAGGACTTCAGAGACGCCCTTGAACGGCAGGTCCTCCACTGTTGCTTGCACTTCTTTAGGGAAGCCAGAGAGATGCAGCCAGGACGCCCTCCTCATTACGATCATGGTGTGGATCGTGCTGCTCTATCTGCAGAGTCTAGGGCAGCTTGCAGTGCCGTCCTGGTGATCAGTTGGCCCTCGGAAATGAGTGCACTAAATTGCTTTTTTTTCCCCCCCTCAGGGAGAAATTCAATAAAATTGGATAGTGTGCCATAATTTGTGTGGTTGTATTTGGCTAATGACATATGATTGTTTGCCCCTTTCATTAACAGCATCCACTCCCAGGGAGCTTGGTGTGGGATGTGAAAAAAGAAAAAGTGGTTACCTACCTCTCGTAACTGTTGTTCTTCAAGATGTGTTGCTCATGTCCATTCCAATAGGTGTGTGCGTGCCGTGTGCACGATCGTAGGAAGGTTTTTCCGCTAGCGGTACCCGTCGGTTTGGCTGTAGATACCCCTACAGTGGCGCCTTTATGGCGGTGTATATAGGTCCCTGCCGACCCGCCACCTGCTCAGTTCCTTCTTGCCGGAATACTCCGACAGAGGGGCACCGGGCGGGATTTGGAATGGACATGAGCAACACATCTTGAAGAACAACAGTTACGAGAGGTAGGTAACCATTTTTTCTTCTTCGAGTGATTGCTCATGTGGATTCCAATAGGTGACTTCCAAGCAGTTCCCCCAGAAGGAGGGGTCGGAATTCACCTGGTTGCTGAGTGCAGGACTGCCCTGCCAAAGGCTACATCATCCCTCGCCTGCTGGGTAATGGCGTAGTGTGACGTGAAGGTGTGGATGGAAGACCATGTTGCTGCCTTGCAAATGTCCTGGATAGGAACCTGCGCCAGGAATGCTGCAGACGACGCCTGCACTCTGGTGGAGTGCGCCGTAAGCGGAAGGGCTGGAATTTTAGCCAGGTCGTAGCAAGTCCTGATACAGGACGTGATCCATGATGAAATGCACTGGGACGAGATTGGGAGCCCCCTCAACCTTTCTGTGATTGCAATAAAGAGCTGTGGTGACTTACAAAATGGCTTTGTGCGCTCAATGTAGAATGCTAGGGTACGCCTAACATCCAAGGAATGGAACATGCGCTCCCT